GAAAGAGTTTCAGAAGGCACCTACCATTGACTTTGCTGGATCTCATTAATATCTTCTTAAGGTCATTAGTTCAACAAATACCTGCTTTGCTACTAGTTTAACAGGCTGCAGGGCCCCAGAGCACGAATCCAAGGAGCTTATGAGATTACAACTTGCAATCCACTTAGACAAGATGTGGGAGTAAGAGGCTCTAGTTCTACACAAGTCACAGTGTCCAGGGCCACCAGGAATAGCCACCTCTATGCCATGTGCTTCCCCAGGCTTCCTAGAAACTTCTGGGTTTTCTGTGCTGCTAGTGATTTTACAGACCACAGTCCCGGGTAACAGGGACTTCCTGAGGACAACTGCTCCCTTAGACTGACACCACCAAGGACAAGGGCTGACCTCTCCTATTAGATTAAGTAACCAACGACAAAAACAGAACAGCATCATTTTACACTGTCCCCAGCCTATCTGCCATGGCTCCATCACCCACACCTGGAACCCAGCTGTACTTCAGAAATACTCAGGGGAACCAGAGAAATAAAAGGCCCAAACAAACCAAATGTATAACAGAAAAAAAGATATCATGACATAGCCAAGAAAGGCAGAGATGTGGGGAGGCAAGAGAATGGGACGAAATCTCTGATAGTTAGGGACACAGAGAGATAGAGAGTGGGAGGGGTGAATGGCAGGCAGGAGGAACAGAGGCAGCTGACCCGTCACCCTCATTCCCAAATACTCCATGACCACACAAGCAGGCTCCTGGCACTAGGCCTTTATTACAACGATACTCTGCAGGCTCGACCCACCTCCTGCCTGAGTCCCTGGGAGTGCGACTGGCCTTCCCTGGCAGGTGAGATGCAGTTGTGCTGAGTGAGCAAACAGCTTCTCCTTCAGTCCAGGGGGAGCCCCCCTCCTTTGGCAATGCCTCTGAGAGGCCAGGTGTGCAGAGGTCATTTCTCTGTGGAGACACCCACGCTCACACGGTCCACTTTAGACACCTGCAGATGGAGGGGAGGCCCAGGATGAGGAGAGAGGCCTGGTGAGGCTGAGGAAGGAGGCGATGGATGTGGCCCGGTAGCTCCCCGCTCACCTGGTCTCCTGGTGGGTGCCAAGACAGCGCACTGTGCAGTAGCGGGCACCACAGCTGACGCAGGTGTATGGGGAGGGGAAGCCACAGACAGCACAGAAGGGGCGCTGGGGCCGGGATGGGGGCCCCGCACAGGCTGTCAGGTAGTTGGGGCCCTCGGCCACACTCAGGTTCTGCAGACAAGAGAGGAAGGCTCCATGAGGCCCCCACCCACCTGCAAAGCAAACACCCGCCAGCAACAAGATCTCCGCAGGTGCAGGCCCGGAGGCCCTCCCTGGGTGACACCTCCCTCACCTGCTCCTCCAGCAAGGCCTGAAAGTTTTTTCGGAAGCGAAGTTTAAAATGATCACCCCGAGTTTTCTTCTTTTTCTTTCCTAGAGGTCAAGGAGAATTAGTTGTTTGATACCTGCCAAGAAAGACACCACCTCCCTCTAGTTCATCACTCCTACACCCATGTGTCCAGTCTGAGCCCTGGGTTCCAAGTCGGTCCCCCTCTACCAGCCTTTGCCCTGTACCCCAACTCCTCCAGTCCCAGCCTACATCATTACCACACCCCCTAAATCTAAGGCTTTATGTCAGAGCTCATCTACTCTATCTCCTTTACCTACATGCACAAGAAGACACTGAGGCACAGAGTGGAAAGCAGCTGCCCAGAGCCACCACAGCCAGCCACTGACAGAGCCAGAGGGAGAGCCCCTGAGTCATCTGCCTCCCAGTCCAGGTCCTTCCACAGCCCTGGCCAGGGCAGACTCCTCCCTCTTCCTCACCTTTGTCCTTGACCCTGGCCCTCCCCTTCTCCATCCGCCTCACCCGTGTCTGCATCATCATCAAACTGAGGTAGCCTCTTGCCGAGCTGAGGGAGTCCTGCGTGGGGGTCATCCTGGAAGTTGTCATTCTCCAAAGCCTCGAGCTGCCTATTGATGCGACGCTGCCGGGCAGCCCGGTCCAGCACCCGCCGCTGTCCGGGGTCCTGCGAGCGAACTGTTTATAGGTAGGGCAGGGCAAAAGGGGTTATGGGGACGCAGAGAGGAGGAGCTGGAGCAGCTGCAGCTCTGGGCAGTGTGTAGATGACGTCCAGCAGGTGGGGAGTCACAGTTTTCTGATCTGCTCCCAGTCAGCAAGACCTTCACCCCTATATCTTCCCCCGAATATCAGCCCCTCTGGCTTTGCTTCTTCCCAGCTCAGACTATTCCATTTGCTCATGCCTGTTTTCTAGCCCTTTGAACCAGGCCCTCCCTCCCAATCCCAGGCCCAGCCAGTCGAATGCCTCTTGGAGACCTCTCACAGCTGGCAGGAACCATGCAACCTTGCCGACTATGGAAGCCACTAAGCACTTGGAGCTTCCAGGCTCAACTGGGCCTTAGCACACTCGGCCTGAGGTCAGCACTCATTTCCTATCTAAAAGAAGGTGGGGGCCACTCAGGTGTAGCCAGGCTCATCCTTCAGCCCATCCTCAGACAGAATTGCTGGGCACCCATCTTCCTTCCACTCCAAGTGGATACATCCCCACTTCTATACCTCACCACTCAACTCCACCCTTCACCTTCAGCTCCAGCCCACCTCCTCTTACATCTTCAGCTCCTCTTCCTCAACTAGCACCTTCCTTTCCACAGAAGAACCTGCTAAGCTCTCCTACCACTCCCCACCTTCACAGCTACTCTTCTCCTTTGCCCATGTCGCCTTGTTTCCTGACCTCCCCGTCTCTCCTCTCCTCAAACTCCTGCAATCTAGCACCTGCCTGACTATTCAATGGGAGCCACACACTCTCTGGTAACCTCTTAAGGCCAAGTCCAGTGTACATTTCAAGAATCCTCTTTTGACATGAGCTCTCTACAGCCTGTAACTGTGCTGACTACCTTCCTGGAGTTGAGTCCTTTGGTTTGCTTCCTTAGTGGCTCCAGTTTTCCTTCCCCAAGTCTGGTCATGCCTCCCAGTCTCCCATCTTGGCTGCTCTGTCTCTACAGAGGTGGCTGTTCCTCTTCTCTGTTGATATGCCCTTTCTGGGACTCTAATTCAAATGTCTCCAAAAGTGATTTTTCTCAGTCAAGAATCCTCTCCAGGCTGCTGGCCTGTTGATGCTACAACTTAAAGTCTAAAGAAAAAAAAAAAAAATCTCCTCCTGGGTCATCAGGTGATGTGGAGCTTAAGGTAATGGATCCCTCATGGCCAACTTTGTGGTTCAAGTTCCAGATCTGGAAGCCTGAAAATCACACCAGGTGCATGTGCATGTGTGCCCAAAATCCTGAGAAGAGACTGGGCTGGAGGAGAAGGGACTACAGTGTGGCTGTTCCCCGCACCCTTGGAAGGGTGATTTTCCACTTTCCCTCTCTCTCTAGTGAGCACATGCACCCTATTGCAAAAACTAAAAATGCAAACAAACAAACAACAACAACAAAAATACTTCCCATCCAAGTCTGCTTCTCCTTCTGTAGAGGCCAAGTGAATGGGACTATGGAACCATTCATGGAAACGTCCAAACCAGAAACCTGGTTGTTTTAAGTCTCCTTCTTCTAAACTAGAAATCTAGGAGTCTTTTTTTTTTTTTTTCCTTTCCATGATAGAATGTGTACACATGCATGAGAGTGAGAAAGATAGAATGAGAGAAAGAGAATTGCCCTCCATGGGGCTTGGTCACCAGGATCGTAGAGACTTATTTGAGCCCAGCCTATTTCAGGCTACTAAGATGGGAATTCAAACCTCAGTCAACATGTAGCTTCCAGCTCCACAATCTGGTACACTACTAACTGCCCAGAGGTTAAGGCAAGGTTCGGCTAATTCTACATAACACGTCTCTGTACTCATTAAGCAAATATGCATCGAGTGTCTCTCACCAGTAATGATAATCACAGCAGCTCCCTTAGCTTGCTGGGCACTCACTATGAACCAGACATTATACTAAGCTCAGCATAAATTGAATCAACTCATCCTCACAACAACCCTATGAGATCGGTATCATCAACTCCAGTTCACGATGGTCAGAGGTTAAGAGACATGTTCACTGATGTTCAGAGGTCAAGAAACATGTCCAAAGTTGGCACAGCTTGTTAAGTGGTCAGGTCAGAATTCAAACCGAGAACTGCCCAGCATCAAAACTGTTTGTGTTGATCACTTAACTATACTGCCCCCCTACTGAATGCCAGGTAGTATCTACATTGTGGGAATGTGTAATGGCTTCAATGCGTCCCGCCAAAAATTCACGTGACAAAATTTGGTCGTGATGGGATTAAAGGGTGAGAATTTAACCTATGAGATTAAGAGATGAGCCCTTTAGGAGGCAATTAGGAGTAAGGTTAAGGTGGAGACCCCAGGATTCAATCCTGGCAAATTTTAAGAGAGATTTTTTTATAGGGTGTGTGCACTCACCAGAGAGAGATAGAAAGCAAGAATCATCCCCCCAGAGGGGATGGCCATGCCACAATCCCTTCTCCTGCACTCTCCTCCCAGGATTTTGGGCATACACGTACATGCACCCAGCATGAGTTTTAAGCCTCCAGGTCCTACTAACTGCCCAGAGGTTAAGGCAAGGTTCGGCTAATTCTACATAACACGTCTCTGTACTCATTAAGCAAATATGCATCGAGTGTCTCTCACCAGTAATGATAATCACAGCAGCTCCCTTAGCTTGCTGGGCACTCACTATGAACCAGACATTATACTAAGCTCAGCATAAATTGAATCAACTCATCCTCACAACAACCCTATGAGATCGGTATCATCAACTCCAGTTCACGATGGTCAGAGGTTAAGAGACATGTTCACTGATGTTCAGAGGTCAAGAAACATGTCCAAAGTTGGCACAGCTTGTTAAGTGGTCAGGTCAGAATTCAAACCGAGAACTGCCCAGCATCAAAACTGTTTGTGTTGATCACTTAACTATACTGCCCCCCTACTGAATGCCAGGTAGTATCTACATTGTGGGAATGTGTAATGGCTTCAATGCGTCCCGCCAAAAATTCACGTGACAAAATTTGGTCGTGATGGGATTAAAGGGTGAGAATTTAACCTATGAGATTAAGAGATGAGCCCTTTAGGAGGCAATTAGGAGTAAGGTTAAGGTGGAGACCCCAGGATTCAATCCTGGCAAATTTTAAGAGAGATTTTTTTATAGGGTGTGTGCACTCACCAGAGAGAGATAGAAAGCAAGAATCATCCCCCCAGAGGGGATGGCCATGCCACAATCCCTTCTCCTGCACTCTCCTCCCAGGATTTTGGGCATACACGTACATGCACCCAGCATGAGTTTTAAGCCTCCAGGTCTGGGACTCAAACTGTGGTCCACTACATGGAAATCCATCTGCTGGTCCCCCTGGCAGATTTATAAAGAGAGGGAATGAGACAAGACACATGAATACAGACACAAACTCACTTTTACACTGTATCAGCATGTGATGCCCTGCACCGCTTTGGGACTCTGCAGGGTGTCCCTACCAGCAAGACTCTTATCAGTACAGCCCCTTGATATTGGACCTCCAAAACCATGAGCTAAATAAACCTATATTCTTTATATTACCCAGATCCAGGTATTTCTGTTATTAGCAATACGATGGATTAAATAGAATGCAGAGCTTACAGAGTGAGGAACACAAAAGAGTCAACAAGCAAACACTGTACAGCTGAGCATATGCTATGTAGAAGAGGGGAGCAAATAGTCCTGCAAAGCATGAGAAACATATAACCTAGCCTTAGAGTGCTCAGGGAAGATTTCCTAGAGAAGTCTAGTTTGAGGCTTAATTGCTGAGTAGCCTAGCTGGGAGAGGGAGGAGGGTGTTTCAGGCCTTGCTGAAATCCTGGTTGAGAGCCGTTGGTGCCTTCCATAGGTTGAAAGAGGTTCATGGGACCAGCAGTTAGTGTAATGGCTATGCTGCTGAATTCCCATATAATCGACCGTGGTTTGTGTCCTGGACCCGGTGGCTTAAAACTCATGCTGGGTGCATGTGCGTATGTGCCCAAGATCCCGAGAGAACGGAGGAGAAGGGACTGCGGTGTGGCCATCCTCCCTGTGAGTGATTTCTCGCTTTCTGTCTGTCTCTCTGTCTGGCAAGTGCACATGCCCTATAACAAAAACCTCTCCAAAAAAATAAATAAATAAAAAGAGGTTCATTAGGGCTAGTATATAAAGCGTGTGTGAGGGCAGAAGAGAAGTGAAGGCAGATAGGTCATTAGACATTTACCTTTAAGGAATCTGGAGTGATGGAGATCCAGTGAGGAATTTTTAAGATGGAAGGGACATGATTGGATTTATTGAAAGCCAATCAGTAAGAGTGGACTCTCATCTTTTCTTTTATCTGGACTACTGAGTAGCTTCCTAACTAGGTTTCCAGGCTCTAGACCTTTGCTTACAATAACGTAACTACTAGTCAAAAGTGCTTATTTAAATTTAGACTTAAAAAGGTACAATAAGATTTAAAATTCAATGTCTCAGCCTCACTAGCCACATTTCATGTGGGCAGCAGGCACATGTGGCTAGTGAACAATACAGATTAAGCATATTCCTGTCATCTCTGAAAGGTCTACCCGACAGTGCTGTTCTAGTCCCTCCACCTGGTCCTTCACACCGAAGCCAGAACTTTCCCACTCCTTGCCTTAAAACCTTTTATGCGCTCTACTACCTTCTCCAGAGTTCAAACAGCTCTACAATGTATATATATAATGCTTGATTTTTGTTTTGTTTGCTAAAGGGCAAGTGTGTCCACCAGAGAAAGGCAGAAAGAGAGAGAAATCACCACCACCACCCCTCCCAGGGATGATCAGGGAACCCCTTCTCCTCCATTGCCTCTGAGGATTTGGGGGCACTAGTCCTAGAGTTCCCAACTAAGCACTGGGCCATGTGGGATCCTGCTGCCTTATGCATCTACTGGCCCTATAATACCTTTCTAATATCATCTTTTCCCAGCCCTCTGGCCTTAAGAGAGCTCAAAACTGTGAACTTGGCTTCCTGGACGACTTTTTTTCCTCTCCTGGCTTTGCACTTGCAGTTCCCACTGTGGAAAGAAGTCTTGCGCACCCCCACTGAGCGAAACTGCAACTCGACTTTCAAGACTCAAGTCAAGCGTTATTATTTTTTCCCTTCCAAGCCTTTCCAGGTCCCTTCCTTCCCAGAGGATAGGTTGGATGCCACCCACCCAACCCCAACCTCACCCTCCGCGCCCAGGCACTGTCCCTTCCTGTACCATAGCACCCATCACTCTGAAATGCAATGACATATCTGCATGTCTGTCTCCCTCCCAGAAAGCCAGTTCTTGGACAACAGGGATCTTTTTCCCCTCCCTCTCCAGCCCACGGTTGGGGCAGGCATCAATAACACGTGAATGAATGGCTTGAGGGGCTGCCCCAACGCTAGGAACCGAGGATCGGGGAAGGGATTTGAGACGAATAACGGGGTGAGAAATTCTAGGCCAGGTTTGGATGTGGAATGACGAAGGGGACAGCCCGCTGGGAGCTCACATACCCGAGGTCTTCTTCTCCACCATTTGCACAGCGCAGCTGCCGGAAGAGCCTGCGGAGTACGCGTACTAAACCAATAGGGTCGGTAGGGGCACCATCACTTCCGGTAGCGCGTGTTTCTACGCTTGCGCATAATAATTTCGCACCGTGTCGACTCATTACGTGATGTTCCCTTGGAGACGGAAAAGCTTTCCGCCATGTTTTATAGTGGCAAAACCACTTCCGGCCTCAGTGTGGTTGTGTGAATTTTGTGGGAGCCCCAAAATGAGACGTTTTAAAGAAGCGGGACTGGAGGTCTTTCGGAAAACGTTTTCCTTTGGTCCTCCTGAAGATGCTGTCATCGCAAAGGCGGCCCATAATGCTTCCCCCGGGGCAGGAAAGGTGGTGGCTCAGGCTGTCGAAGTGGGTAGGCTTGAGTGGGCAATTCGAGGTGTCTATGGCCCTTTTTCAGAGCTCAATTCCAGCTTCCCAGGCCGCAGTCCCGCC